GAGAGAGAGAGAGAGAGAGAGAGAGAGAGAGAGAGAGAGAGAAGACAAATCACTAGAGGGAAAAGAATTTTTGCAAAATGCACTGACAAACTCCATAAAAACCAACAAAAGAAAAAAGAAAAGAGGTAACCCAGCAGAGAGAGGCTGTTCTCAAAACTGGAAATTCACAAGGCCAGTGAGCACGTGGCCATGTGCCAGTCTCGCTGGCTGAGCAGTAAAGGCAAACAGATACCTACACACACCTGACAAGGGCCTGTCATTCAAAAGATTGATAATGCCAAGCGTAACATGTCCTACCTGTGGCTCAGCAAGTGGTGGACAGAGACACCCAGGAGACTGTTCCAGAAGCACTGTCAACCTCAGGCATGCTTTAGTTCCTGTTGCACCGCTGTGACAAAATATACAACTCAAGCAGCTCGAGGCAGGAAGAGTTCATGTGGATCCCATTTTCAGGGGTGTCAGTTCATCATGAGAGGGGTCAACAACAGGGCAGTTCACACCAAGATGGGCCCAGAAGCAGAGAAAGGGCACTGATGGTCTGTTGGCTTTCTCCCTTCCCCCTGAATCCACCCGTTTTCCCAACCTACAGAATGGTACCACCCACACCCAGGGTGACTCTGGCCCCTTCGGACAGTCCTCTCCGCAAACAACCTCATAGGCATACCCAGAGGCCTTTTTTAATTTTGTAGGTGATTCTGAATTGAATCATGATTGACAGGAGATTAATCACCTTGATATTTAAATTAGAGGTACTCAAACACCCATCACTAGTAGAAAGGATAAGTAAACTGTGGTGTATGGCTATGGTGCAGTACTAACTAGTGATGATCACTCAACAAGAATGGGTCTCACTAAGATAACACAGAGAGGGGAAAATCAACACAAAAGGATATTTCATGGTGATATCTATATAAAGTTCAAATTGAGACACACCTGGTCTTTTGTGCTAGATCTTAGGATAAGGGTTACTAGGGAAAGGGTGGATGATGTGGTGAAGAATGTCATCTTAATTTTGACACTGGTCACAGGGACGCTTCTAGTTCACTTTCTGTTGCTATAATGAACACCGTGATCAGGAGCAACTTGGGGAGAAGAGGGTCTATTTTACCTTACAGCTCACACTCCAGCATCAAGGGAACTGAGGCCGGGAACTCAAAGCCGGAACCTGGAGGCAGGAGAGAAAGCAGAGGCTGCTGAAGAATGCTGCTTACTGGCTTGCCCCCCATGGTGTGCTCAACTTGCTTTCTTATAGACCACAGGGCCACCTGCCCAGAAGTGGCACTCCCCACAGTGGGCTGCGTCCTCCCACATTAAACCTTAATCAAGAAAATTCCCTACAGGCTTGCTACAGGTCGATCTGATGAAGGCATTTTCTCAGTTGAGGTTCCCTCTGTCCCAATGACACTAGCTTGTGTCAAGGTGACCAAAAACACCAACCAGGAGAGATGCCTTTTCCCTGTGTGTTTTCTCCTGAGTTGACTATTTATTCCTTTTCATTCTTCCAATCTCTCCCTGCTTTCCTGTAAAATTTACCCGAAATAAATAAGTAGATATCACAAGGAGTAATATATCAGAGAATTTACTTGAAGTAAGTGAATTATTGAGGAAAAAATTCATAACTGAAATCTCAGCAGTGTTATATGTAATCAAATTAGTAATTTAAATTCTGCCCAAGAGAAAAATATCAGACCCAGAGGGTTTTAGTAACAAGTTCTAAATTTTCAAAGAACAGATCATTCTAATCTTAGCAAAAAATATTCCAGCAAATATAAACATAGAAAATGGTATCTGAAGCGTTGGATGTAAAAAAAATTCTGAATCCTAATTAGTCATGAGACAGAAAAACTCATCAGTGAACCATATTCTCAAACTTAGAGGCAGAAATCCTACACAAAATAACAGCAGCATCTATCTTCCAGTGTTTTAAAAAGACCAGATAGAGCAGTGGTTCTCAACCTTCGTAACACTGTGACCCTGTAATACAGTTCCTCATCTTGTGGTGCCCCCCAAGCATAAAACTATTTTCATTGTTACTTCATAACTGTCATTTTTGTCACTCTTATGAGTTATAATGTAAGTATCTCATATATATATATATATATATATATATATATATATATATATATGTATATGTATAATATCCAGTATGTGGCCCACGTGGGGGTCACGACCCACAGGTTAAGAACCACCGTTATAGTGGAATCTGGGTTTAACTAAGAAATACAAGGTGGTACAACATAGAAAATATATAGCTATATTTTTACCATAATGACAAATCAAACAATAATATAATATACTCATTTGATATAAAAAGAAACAATGAAAATGATTGAAAAATTCTTGTAAAAACTAGGAGTAAAAGAACCTTCCCTGAGAGTGGGCTCTGCTCCTCGCCTGGGCAGCACAGTGGAACTGACCCTGTTGGCAGAGCCGGGGATGAACTGGCCTTGAGGGTGTGAGAGTTGGATAGCTGGCCACACCCCCTCATCTCCCCTGTGGTGGTGGGGAAAGCTGCCTTCCCCCTCCCAGGAAGCTGACCCTCCCCATTCCCAGCTGCAGCACTTGGGAAAGCGAGCCCTGCACCTCACCTGGGCAGCACAGTAGGGGTGACCCTACTGACAGGGGTGTGGGTGAGCCACTGAGAATGTGAGCATGGGAGATCTGGCCCCGCTGCTCATCTGCCATCTGGTGTTGTATATACATGGGCGTGATCCCCATCCCCATCACCTGTGGCAGGTGGAAGAGCTGGTCCTGAGGTCATAACAGTGGGAGAATTATCCCTGTGTGACTTTGTCATATGACAGCTTCCATGACATGATTGATTTTTCCTCTTTTTTTTTCTCTTAAATTTTATTTTATTTTATTTTGGGGGTGACGTTGTAAGGGCAGAGGGTCGATATGAAGGGTTAGGGAAATGAATGAGATTGAGATGCATGATATAAAAAATACAAAGAATAAGTAGATATTTTTTTTTTTTTTTTTTTTTTTTTTTTTTTT